GCGCCGAGGAGAGAGATGGCCGAACAATCATCAGCTCAAATCCAACACAGGTGAGGAAAGTTCAGCTGGTCACAATCCGCACACCGGGCATTAATTAATTAGAGCACAAACAGGCAACTACCCTCGATAGGGTAAGCAGTAGCGTTGCGAATGTATCATATAAATCGTGCAAATATCTGTGTATAAATTAAGGGTTTTTGTTAGTCCTTGAGGATTGATTCACGACGGAAGTCGAAACATCGGGCGAATAAAGTTCTTATCCTAGCTATCGTATTTTCTTCTTCTGATTTGATTCCTGGGACTCGCATTTTCGCTTCTATTGGAGGGTTTATTGTTTTACAAACTTCTCGCATTTGTTTTCCCTTCGTTCGAATAAGCTTTGTCGAATTCAAATACCCGAGCTCTGTTTCCTTCAGTCGATAAGCCACTGACCCATATCCGATTGGTTCTCGAGGTACCTGAGTTTGAGGCCCTACCGCATGTATGAAGAGGCGGACCAGAACGACTAATCTGGTCCTGCGCCCAGCTCTTAACCACGATAGCTCGCGACGGGATCAAATTGATGCGTTGATCTGCCTGTCAAAGTCATCCTATGATGGATGATCTTCTTTTCTACAGGAACATACTTAGCGATTGCGAATATGTTATACCTTCTTGAAGTCTACCTTCCGCCTCAAAAAGTCTCCTATATCCGGAGTAGCTCTAACAAAAAAAGCTTTATTTGTCTAAGCGCTTTAAAGCATATTAAGTTGTGATTGAGATCTCACAAGCAAAGCTCGAGCCCACCTTTAGAAGTCAGATTCGGTTTTGGAATAACAAAAAACTGTTCCACTGGATTATAGTGAAAGTAGGCTAGCGCAGAATCTACCTAACTCTCTTCTCACTCCCTCACCAGTGTCCGGTATCAAAACAAAAGTCAAGGAGGCCGGAGGTGGAGGGGGGGAGGCGCAGGTAGCTGGCGCGGCCAGGGCCACCCCGAAGCGTGCCACCATATTTAGGACGATCACTTTCGTAAGATAAGCAGAGATCTACTAGCCGAGTGGCCCCTGCGACAATACAGACGAGGGCGTGACAGAAAACGCCGCCACCAAGCCGTCCGTAACTCCGCTAGACACTATGAACCGGTATTCACTCCTCTGGATTAGAGAGAAAGAATGTACAATTTTGAAGCAGATGACACCAACAGCATTTATTTGTACAGACAAATTTCGAGAGAGCTCATCAACTGCTGCCTCTCTTTGCATGAATAACGAAGCAATTAGAGGAAACATCATTTCAATTTTTTATCCCAGAATCGATAAATGCATAAAGGAGGCCCTACTTAAGCTTAGCTACCCCCTACATTTCATTCAAAAATATGGCAGTCCCTCATGCCTGAAATCTACGGACCAGTCGGTTTCAAAAAAGCCCTTTTTATACCTTTACCCTTTAAGGGAGACAGTATCCCATAGACAGTTTAACGAAGACTAAGTTGTCCAATAGAAAGAACTTACTATGCCGCCGATCCTGTTTCCCTCACTCCAATCAAAAGCCTTCCAGTTAACCGGTTAAAGAAAGCCTTGCCTTTGCGCGCCACCCCAAACTGCGTCTATGAATTCACCTGCACTTGCGGATGCAAGTGTATTGGGTGTACGCAAAGGCGAATGGCGACCAGGACTGCTGAACATTTCCCTGCTTGGCTTTTAAAACAAGAAAACAAAGTGCCACGGTCTTCCATTACAAAACACTTGCAAGACAGTGGTGACTCCGTGAACATCAACAAATAATTCCGAGTTCTTGCTCTAACGCGAACAATCCGGACCTTGCGTTATCTGGAAGCAGCCTACATACGGCGGGAGAAACCCGACCTATGTAGGCAATTAGTCCATGTGGTTTATGTTCAATTGCTCTTATTGCTCAATTGCTTTTATTCTTGTTAATTCCCCTCCCTTCTTTTCTTCCCAAGTTTAAAGTTGATAGTACTATTGACCATGAGACACGTTAAAAGGACTTTGCTATTAACGATTCTGTGAAAATTCAAAATGATGTGTTCTCTTATTGCTTCGTTATTCATGCATGGAGAGGAAGCGGTTGATAAGCTTTCTCGAAATTTATTTGTGAAAATAAATTCTGCCATCGTCACCTGCTTCAAATTTGTACCTGGCAAAAAGTGCTTTAAATATACAATTTATCGGGCAAACATGTACATGACCTAGAGACCCAGTGGGAGCGCGAACGCATACACCGTCAGGGAATCAGGTTCAAGGAAACTGCCAGCAAACACGAGGCCGCAGTGGGTATGGTTTGCTAAAGCGTGGCGTAGCATATGCACACAATTCTTGAAGCGCATTCTCATCTCGTCTGTAGCATGTAGCTAACTAACCAACAACAATGTCTGCGCCATGTCTCTCGGCATATTTTTCTCCTGTTTTCTGAATATTAGGGAATAGGAACTGTTGCCCTTTTCCTCCATTAGGTGCTGATTTCACCCTTTTCATCACATCCTATCAGATGTTAGACCTGAGAGCTGAAATAATACTGCAGCATCAAACGCCACTAAAAAGCTGTATCACCGTTCAGCCAAGTTTTACAACACACGTACGCGGCGTCAACATGCACTTACAGACAAGTGAACCAAACAATAAGGAGAGATAGAAAGACGAAATCTGACAGTCTGATTTGTTGATTTTTAGGGCACTTGTCATGTGGCAGTCAGTGACGCACCTAGTGCACCGAACCACTTAGCATGTTCGCATCTCTCGTCGGCCTTTCGATTCGCTAGTACTCGACATGATGAGCAGACATGGGTTTCCAGACTTGTATATATTGTGAGTTGGTGTTGGATTCGTTTCCATTTTGAAGCTACCCAGGAACGGCCGAATGGGGAATCAACAAGCAAGACCACCTACTAGCGTTGGCATCGTGGAATGTGCCGTCAACAAGGGCCAACCAAAAGAGGGCGTTGAAACTGGCCCAAAAGCTATGCGTGAGGGGGGACTCAATGAATTTCTCAATAGCGTGGGTACGTATTTTAACCTGTAGAAAATAGCTTCTCCTCATTTCCACTTGTTTCAACTATTTCCTTTTGAATATAAGCCTGGTGCTTTGCCTAGGCAAGCAAAATCTATCTGAATGCGAATGCTTAAGTACAGTTCCACCAGATCCATTTTTAGTCAATCATAAAAACACGAAAATTGCAGTTTCTGAGAAGCTATTTACTAGCAGATTAATGAGGTCTAATAAAGTATGCCCAGATGGTTTGGGAAAACAGAAGCCAAACGTACAAATCCATTTAAAGGCCTATTAAAAAATATGAATGGAACACGATATTTAATACAGAAAATCTAACAACCTGACCTACCAATCTGAAACTTTCTTTTTTCTCTTAGTCAATTCAAACATCATGTATAATTTATAAGGGAATGCTATATTTGGCAAAATACGCCAGCACTATTTGTGCTCGGTCCCATACGGTATTTATTCTGCCCTTGCTTTAACTATACCTTCAACGGTCCATATGTATACCTAACTTCAGTTGGCGTATACTAAAATAGTTTTAATAATAAATCAATTGTTTGCCTGGAATCCTTATAAGTAAATTACAAGCTTTCGGACCAATGCTCTATGCTGAATATAAACTAGATTATATTCAAACATTTATTACAAAACGTTTGATATATATCGCCACAGCTGGTAGTTTCTTTGTCGGGACGGTTGTGAGTTCCGCCATTCCTTTTTGCGAAAATACTGACAAAGTACTTAAACATGTACAATAGACGCCAAAAATCACGCAACACTTTGACAAATGCGAAAGACCGATACTCTTTCGCTAATCGGCATTGACCCAAGTTGTGCTACTGATTATCGTGTAGTCTATTCTAAATTCATTTCAGTCATGATAGGATGCAGGCTTTTTAGCGAGCCTAGTTTTGACCACTAGCGAAACGTACATATTGTAAAAACTGGCTACTTAAGCAGTATGCCTTTTTCTCATTTATTTTGTCTGCTTTCATAAATTCAAATATAGTTTACGGGAAACATGCACAAAAAAATTATTTCTTGTACTTGTGTGATAGCAAATTACGCCTTCTTTAAATTTTATACTCAGAGAAAGAGTAGCTTTCGGTTTTGAAAAGTTGCTAATTATGAGCTTTTTTACGATTGTGAGGTCTTCATTCATTATACATCGTATCCGTCAATTTATTAATGCTGCCTATACCGCATAAAACATGTTCCACATCTATTGTAATATTTTATGAGAACTATGTGACTTCTTCCTCAGACTGTAGATGAAAATGTACTTTTCCGTAAGCAGGATTTAGATAATGCACAGTTTTTAAACCTCGAATTCGAGTGTAGCAGTCAGTAGGTTAGAAAATTATTCAGCAACTAAGAGACTTTTTTTTAAAACCGAAGGATACCCTTTCTTTGAGTATGAAATTTAAAGAAAGCGTAATTTTCTATAAAACAAGTACAAGAAATATTTTTTTTTCATGCATGTTTTCCATAAAATATATTTGAATTTATAAAGGCAG